GGTGTTGACGACATTCCCATCTTCCCCCTCCTCTTCGTCTATCCCCTTCCTCTTCGTCTGTGTATGGTATGGGCTAGCGCAGTCTTCCTGTGCGAAGCGCCAGGCCCCATTCACACCATATAACGATGATGATGATGTATGTTCAGGGCTGCATTGCAACATTGATTGTTCGGATCACTGGTATCTTAGTCTTCCGTTGTGCTATCTTATACTTTGTATTGAAAGGCCGGTTCTCCCTGTCTGTAGCGACGGTCAGATCAGCCTTGGCTCCTTGGACCACCTACAAAGGGGTTATTTTGTATGGGCGTTCCTTGGTGCTGAATAACGCGATCTTTTCAACAATATGGTACCAAAGAGCAATCTTTCAGTTGGATGCGTCGGCACAACAACTTATCAGACACCTGGCCACACATTATATGTGGAAAGAAGAAACGTTGTCAGCTCCCTACCTCGGTGGCTTGGGAAGTCATAATCCAACCCAAAAGTGAAGGCGGCCATCTTGGATCCGCCTACTCAAATAGATGCGTTGCTGTCAAGATGGGTTCCGTGGGCCATTCTCATCTCAATAGCCCGTTTGCCCCTTGAAGACAGATGGCGGAAGTTAACTTTCTGGAAGCTTGGGGCTGGCGCTCCTTCCGATATATCTGGCTAGCAGCTCTCGAAAGACGGTTAACAGGGGCCCAAATATTTGCCGTTTTCGTTGGCAATTGCGGTGCGAATTTCATCAAAAATTTTAAAAACAAACGATATGAGACCATAGTGCAAACATCAAAAAAGGAAACAGGCCAAAAAAAACGAAAAAAAAAACAAAAAAACATTATGAAACCCTAACACAAAGAAACCGTCGGACTCAAAATGAAGCGTCCAACGAATTCAACAAAATGCCAATTTTTTCATTATTGATCCAAACATGTGAAAACTGCACACATGACGCACCCTAAAGCACACATATATCACACAAAAAGAAAAACAAGAAAAAAATGCAAAAAATCAGGCCAACTCCCAATACCGTTTATCTACACAGACACATACCTCAAGGCATATGGGGAGGTATCACTCGTGCCTGGCGCCGTTGTGTTCCCTCCCTGTTACTCCCTCCAATGATGCTCGATAGAGTCCTCACACAACCGCTATTCGACAATCTGACAATCCTCACTCCGGAAGGTGTTCCCTTCTCCTCTTTCGGTTCAGGGGCTTTCGGAGACTCTTGGATGGCAAGGGGAGTGGGGACCATCATGGACATCTGGGATATAAAACAACGGGATTGGAAGTTGGCCCACGATCTGGCAGCGGTGCTGATTGGTTTGTGGCACCAGACCCAGCACCTGCTTTCGCTGCAGCAAGCGATTCCACAGCATTGGCAACAATGTCTGCGCTCCGGTCTGCCTTTGCGATCTGGGGGTTGGTATAAGAGAACAGGAGACCGTGATCCACAACATTTGTGGCAAAGACAAGAAACTGGCGAAATGGTTTGTTGGGCCACATCCTCCTCCCCTCGTTCATTGGGTTTGGAGATGCAATTGCCGGAAACTCCTCTACCTCCACCACAACAAACGGAGATGCAACCAGTGTGTGTTTTGGAGACCCCCAAGGGCAATCGCCCCTGCTGCTTAGCACAGCCATCATACACCCTGCCGGTGGACCCGAGGGATTGGGGTTGGACGATAGACCCTCGAAAACAGCAACCAGTCTTTCTCTATCAATACACCACAAAGCTGGGATACAACCTGATGAGACCACAGATCGACATAAACTGGACTGTGGCAAAACGATGGATGGTTGCTGGATGGATACAAGACATGCTCCCAAGACTTGCTCAGGGCTTCTAAGCTATTGGAGACTGCCGCTGGATCTTCCAGTGGTCAAACACGCGAGCCAATTGTGGCTTGTGGCTCACCTCGCAGTACCTACAGCTTTATGGTGTGCCCAACGCACAGTCAAAGCTACACCTCTCTGCAAGCTACACCTCTCTGCAGTCTGTGCCCTGGAACGAGGATTGAAGACCTCCAACACATGTTACTACACTGCGACCTCTCAAGGCTTTTTTGGGAATGGTGGAGATCAGGATCAGTCCCAATACCGAACCCGGCGGAAAGATGGACTGACAATTTCATTCTTTTAGGGGCGGCTACGCGACGTCATTAGGCCAAAGGGCCGTTGATCTTTCCGGAAGAGACTCTTCGAGGGTCTGTGTTATGGACACTTTGGACGCTCAAGAACTCAGCGGTCTACAGGGGAGAAAAACTGACTCCGGGAATGATGAGAGCGGAGGTTAAATTCGGCATAAAACAGACTATCTCGACCGAGTGGTCTTTCAAAGTCCAAAAAAAAGGATACTCATTGAACGCATTGAGAACCTTCCTTCAACATTGGGATGGATTCCCTGACCTGGTTAAAGTGCAGTTGTCTCAGGGAGCCCATCCACAACTTGAATTTTCCCTTTTTTTTGTTGTCTGGAAATGTACAGTGCTTGCTGCTAAAGGTTCTTTTGTTTTTCTTAGATTTAGTTACGTACAGTACTACCTGTTGTAGGCTTAGTTTCGCTTTTTATACTTTTGGTTATTTGCTGAAATAGATAGGAATAGACAGTTATCTTTTTGCTTTTCTCTCCTTTTTGGAACTCAGCGACTCCCGATATGGGTTTGGCCGGTGATGCCTCGCTCTGAGTCGCTCACAATCAGGAGCCGCCTGCACATATGTGAGGGACGCCGGGCCCGTTTCCCGGTTTGAACAATAAGTGAAATTGTCTTTTGGAAAAAAATGAAACGGTTTTCACCTTTTAGCAGTAGCAGATGCAGTACCTAGGGTTCGATCCCTAGACCTCGTCCTACCCATGTACAGTACCGGTGTAGACCCCGAGAGTTGAACCTGTGACCTGTATATTCGTAGACAGTTGGTAGGTCTGTCATAGGTCCATAGGTAGCAGGGGTTCGATCTGTAGTTCTATAGAGTAGAAGTCTTAGCGAGTTCCATAAGTCTAGCTGTAGTCCTTCTAGAACGTCAACAAGTGGGCAAGTGGTCAAGTGGCAAGTCAAGTGGTGGACTAAACTGCAGTGCAATTGCAGTACGACTACGGTAGGTTAGCAGTGAGTCAGCGGTAAGGTCCACTCAGTCCCAGTCCGGTCCAGCAAGTACCACGGGGGACTGTGAGCACCATGGGCCGATGGCAAAGGGCAGACCAACGAGTTCCCGAAGTATAAATCAAGAGGCAGCGCCCAACCATTCATTCATTCCTGTGTGAGCCATGCGGAAGCGCTGCCACATCGACTTGTGCAAGGAGGTCTGCAGTGAGCCCGGAGGACGCAGTGGGCGAGAGAGGAGGAGTTAGCATAGTGATAGGGTAGAGGCAGCCATAGCTGCCATAACTGTAGTTAGTGGGAAGTGTGTGTGTGTGTTCGAGTGTTCAGAGTGACGCGTGTGGGATATCGAGGGTGATCCGGTGTATGTGAACAGTGAGTTGTTTGGGCGCTGAGTCGTCATAGTCAGTTGGAAGTGAATTCGTATCTGGATGTCATATCTTTGAGTTTTGAGTGGGCGCATGTCGCCAGTTTGCTGCGCTGCTGTTTACATGCATGAAAAGTTTGAATGAGAACGAGTCTGATTGCATTGGTATCGGAGCTGGTACCCGCTATTCCATGCGCGCCGTCGTGTGCAAGGCCTGAAGCGCCATAGCAGAGGTGGCTGCCGAAGGTTGTAGTCCGCCATAGCGGACCTGAGGTTGGAGAAGCCGCCGCGCACCTGCAAAGAAGACCACGACGAAGAAGAAGACCGAGAAAGAGAGAGAGAGAGAGAGAGAGAGAGAGAGAGAGATACAAGATTGGGTTACTATGTACCTGCTGCGCTAGAGATATCGCCACGGAGAGAGAGAGACAGAGAGAGAGAGAGAGAGAGAGAGAGAGAGAGAGAGAGATGAGCGATACAAGTTTGGTTGTTACGTACTTGTGAAGCGGACTGTGCAGTCCCACGTGGAGGAAGGAGAAGCGGCCATAGTCGCGGAGTGTCACCATGGAGTAATGAAGGAGGGAGAGAGACCGGACAAAGGGGGGAGAGACCGAAGAGGGAGAGAAGGAGGTCATAACCGAGAGGTGAAGAGAAGGCCGATGAAAAAAAAAAAAAAAA